GTCTTCCAAGTGGGCTTCCATCTTCCTATCTGGTTCCCTTGATTTACATGGCCTAAGGACTTATCTTGGGTTCACACTGCCTGGTACCGGTTTGTGTTCCCAAAAAATTAAATTATTAAAACTGAAGACCAAAAAATATTAATACAATTTTTTTAGTGAATTTAAAAGCTAAAAATATAATATTTGTAAAATATATATAAAATGCTAAACTGAACAAATTTATTTAAGATGCCAGAACAGGTTGTTTTAATAAAATAAATAGTTATTAGTATTTTTAGAAAAATGATTTTTTAGTTAATTTTTTGTATAATAAATTTGTAGAAAGAGTTTTGAAATTCTATTTTCATCAATGATACTAGGTTTTATATTTGACTTATATTTTGAATATTATTAATAAAACTGAATAATTATCTGGTATTTGGTATATTGTATTATTAATTAAAATATGACATGTTTTTTTAACAACTGAAAATAAAAACCAAATAATAAAATCTTAAAACTATAACTAGTTTTTCATTGATATTTTGTTCTTATAATATAAATATAAAAATGATTGTTCTTAACCAAAGTTTTTAAATGTTGATCATAATTGTTATTATTAAAATTATTAAACAATAACAATTGTTTATAGGGATGTAATGACCTAGTGAAGTGGTCAGATTGTCAACCCTCTAAGTAGTAGATTATAAGTTCAAAACCTATAGACAGTAAAATTTGGATAATCATCTATGTAATATTTATATTATGACAATAGCATTCTGTTGATCAGTTTGGATAGGATACCTGTAACCATGATTGCATCAGCATAACTAACAAGTCAGGGACATCTGTATAATTTTGATTCACAGAAGAATACAAACTAGTACCAAATAATGCAAATCTAAGATAAGTTCTTTGATCATATAAATCTGTAGAACTGAAGAAACTAAAACCTACTTGGGAAGACTCAAGTAAAGAAGTAACACAGATCTTCAATAGTATTACTGTAAAAGCTAAACCTAGAAAACAGATACCAATATGGAGAAATCAAGCAGGCAAGAACCTTTAGGTAAGAGGTATCACCAATTAGACTGCCAGAAATCAGATTGAAGGAAAAGAATATTAGACCAGACTTGATATATTAGGACAGATCACAGTCCTATTGAACTATCTGAATTGGAAGTCTGAGTTCAAAGCAAAAATATACTATAAGTACTAAGAATATGCTATAAAGTTGGTATTAGGATCTGAGTAAACTCTGCAAAGATATACCCTATTAATGTTTTTAATAAAAATGAGTAAATTAGTTAACAAGAAGACATCCTAAATCTTATAATCAAGTGATATGCTTTAAAATATGTAACAGCCTAATAGATGTAGAAAGATCACATGTCAGGTTAAATAACACCAAGATGTACAAAAAACCTCAAGGCTATTTAACTAGTATAAATATAAATGATCAGAGTATTTAAATAGATAATCTCCTAGTAGATTATAGATATGGCAACTAGTGTAGAACCTTCAGGTGGACTACTTAAAATAGATAATCAAAAGTTGTACAAGTGGCTAGTTGTATACTCACTTTGTACAAGTTATGCATAATTAAAATACACAATAAAGGTGATAGCCGCTGATAGACATTGGCCTTAGTGAAAGCAAAAAAAACAAAAAAAAAACAATTGTTTATAAGTTTTAATTGAAAAATAAATTTGACTTATTGATATTTTCTATAATAGTATTATTGTAATGCATTTAATAATCAGTTGAATTACACGTACTGTATTAACAAAAATTTTTTTCCTTTTTAGATCATGTGCTAACAGGGTCACATGTCCAAAATAGGAAATCAAACTTATTAAAATATAAAACAAGCAATTTAATTGGCTATTAATTCTGAATAATAAAAATTATCATATTACTAAAATGCGTTCAATCCGCCCATATGTTCATAAGTAAAATTTCGATTTTTAAAGACGTGATTTTCACGTTACGAAACTTACCAACAGTTCAGGTTGACCAAATTTGTGTTGTCCGGCCCAAATTATACACTTAATTTTGCCTGAAGTGGTATTGTTACACTATGATTTGGCTACTGTCCCTGCATCTAGATCGACTGATATGTCTTTAAGTTTAAAGGCATTTTTTTATTAAGTCTAATCATATACGCATTTGACAATGACTATAAAGATCAATGTGTTAAAAACTGATTGTAAATGAAAATTTATAGTTTAAATATGTCTTTTGTTCTAAAATTTTTTTTATTTTGAGCTCGTTTTATATTAGCCAATCAGATTTTGTAATGTCATCAGATGATTTACAAAAATTAGCCAATCAGAATGAAAAGCCCGCTATGCTACTTTACCCTTAATCCGGACAGCCTCCGATAGGACGCACCAGAGCCAGTTAATGTGATGGATGAACCTGAGAGATCTGAACATGATACAAAAATTTCGAGAGAATTTAAAGAAAGTACTATATTATCTCAAACTAATGTTGGGGCAAAGATCAGTGAGAATTGTGAAACAGAAGTCGATGAAAATGAAAATATGTCTACGTGTTCAAAAAAACGTACTGCTACCGATTTGTACGTAGATAACGATGTTGATACAGGAAAAGAATCAACCGGTACACCTAGGAAACATTTTAGAACGGTTGATAATATACAGGATGATTCGTCTCAAACGCCTAATACTGATGATTCTATTGTTGATTCCAATGAGATATCCATTACCGAATGCTCAAAGTCAGGTAAGTCTAAGGATAGTTTAGTTTCCACCGAATCAAGTGTGCATATTCCTGATGTTGAACATTTTAATGAAAACGTTGCAATTATACAAGAATCATCCAGGAGGGTTAAGGATATAGAATCGGAAAAGGAATGCGTGCAGAATTCTGATAAAATTCATTCTGCAAATCAGAGTACAACTGCCCAAAGTTCTGGTGCATTTGGAAGAGGTTATATACCAACTTCTATTACAACTACCAGAATATTTGGCAGCTCGGTTTCTACTCCTTTACAGTCTAATAACAAGGTACATTCATTAATGGATTCATAAATTATTTACGCAATTTATTTTCTTTTTTGTTATAAATACTAATCATTCAGCTTTAATTCATTTGTAGACAGTTGGTTTTTCTAATTATTCTACTTCTCCACCGCCTTCAAATATATTTGGATCTAAATATACTGGAAGCTCACTAATGGGAAAATTTGGATCAAAATCGGAAAGTTCATATGGATCTTTCACCACATCATCAATCTTTGGTGAATCTGTGCAAGATAATGATAATGATGATGACGGGAAAAAAAGCGATGCGGAAGATGTGCCTTTTGGAACCGGTGCAAGACCTTTATTACAAGAACAAGAAGGTTAGTTAAATTTTAAATTCGCTCAATCTGTACAAAATTGTAATAATAATTTTCTTGGTAGTATTTACTGGAGAAGAAGAAGAAATTACCCGACATACCGTTAGAGCGAAACTATTTTGTATGGGCAATGAACACCAGTGGAAAGAGCGAGGGGTCGGAATGTTAAAACTTAATTACCCAAAGGACTGTGAAAAATCACCTCGACTAAGTTTGTTTTTTTATTGCATTGTTATATATTATATTATTATTACTAAAATGTTTATTTCAAGTATTATTATTATACTGCAATTTAGTCATGCGTGCAGATGGTGTACTGCGAGTGATTTTGAACATTTCTTTATTTCACGGAATGAGTGTCGAACGATCACAAGAAAAATTTGTGAGAATTGTCGCGTTTGAGGGAACTAGCACTACTCCAGTTCATTTTGCTATTAAGGTTTGTCTGAAATTATCTACTAAAATAACTCTAATTTTTTTTTTCTTATTTGAATTTGTTTTTGACAGCTATCAAACACGCATGCTGCGGATGATTTATATGATGCAATACTGGAGGCGATACCGACATCAAAGTTAGTTTAGGTTTGGTTTAGGTCCTAAAACCTTTAGGTTTCGAATTAAAATCTAAGAACCAGGTTTTTATATAATAATTTCCAAATTTAAGTTAAACCTGGTTTGGTTCTAATCAAAATTTAAAACCTGGTTCTCGATATTTTGCAAGACATAAAAAAATAAAATTATATTAATAAAAGCTACTTAATTCATATCAAACTTTTAGAATACATCTTTTTGAATAACTTTACTTAATATGTTAATATTTGATTTATTTAATAATAATTTGACTTTACGTATAAGGAAAGGAAAGTAATATGACGGAGTGGATAAAGTATATTACGAAATATCAAAGCTAACATGAGGTTTATCAAATAGAATTTAATGATTCTTATATCATTCAATTTGTTTCACCAAGATAATCGAACATAAAAAATATCCATTTCTAACTATTGTTGCATTGGATTACCAAATACAAATGATCTTTTTATTCATATAGTAATAGAGTAGATTAGAGATAGTGCTCATAGTTCTTTTTTCTTTCTTTGAAATGTTTATTTTTTTTTTCTTTAAGGTTTTTAATTATTGTGTTTTTATTAGAAAATTAAAGCAACAATTAATAATAAGAAATATCAATGGCAGATTTTAAAAAATTTTAAACTTGAATTAAAGAACATTAACAGAAAAAAATAAGTTTGTTTAAACAAATAAAAAGAAAATATTGTATAAATAAATAATGTTATAAAATTTTTAGATACAATTGATTAAGTGCATATATATATTATAAGAATTTTAGTAAACAAATATAGATATATTTAAAAACCTTTTTTAAAAAAAAATAATAGATATTTAGTTAATCAAATGAATAAAGAATATAAAAATAAAATACAAGTAACATATGGAAGAAGTTAATAGAAAAGGAACAAATTTTTTTTAAGTAAAAGTTTTCTTGACTTTAAGCTTAAATATCTTAACAACTATTTTATTAAATTTGATAAA